GACTACTTCGTGCGAGATGAGAACGGAAACGCGGATTGACTCGTCGGGGAAACCAGTTCTTAGCATTGATTTGTGAGTGAGGGATAAGATGGTAAGAATCATGGTGTGTCAAGCAACGTTTATTCCCTCACTAGCATGGCACCACCACTGCTTTGGCAAAGGGAAAAGGATGGGCCAGCAAGCAGTTGGGAGAAAGTGGAAAGGAAACAAGGAGAGCACGGCAAGTACTATTCTCTCCCTCTTTCCTTTATCTTGGTCACATGTGTCATATTGATCTGGTGGTGGTGATGTTTTTGGAGAATGTTTAATTTTTGTTATTTCTCGTGTTGCTTGTACTGCCACGACAAACGATGAATAGATTAGAAGTGTTTCCCGCATTTTTTTTCCCTCTTGTAAATAGGTTTGCCATGGGAAGTTGTTTTGTGGAATGTAATTTTTCCTGGGTTTCGTAATATATTATTATGACCAGAATTAGCGGTCAGAGTTGTATGTTGAAGAACATTTTAGTCTGCCTGAAGGAGTCATTTAACATGTGTTATGTTGATGGGGAAAATTATCTCACCTAAGGTGCTGAATGCTAACAGTGGAGTCGTCAACATTTGGAGAAATTTTGAGAAAACATTGCAAATATGTCAGGGAGGCGACCACATATGATGCGTTAAATTCAAAGATCAAATTCAGTCATCGCTTTGGTCGTATGAGAGCATTGGAATTTGGTGGCACGAAAACATTTGAAATTGCTTTCTCTTAGATTCCAAAAGCAGCAGAGTTCGAAGTTGAAACTTGGCAGGTTCATATAGCATCACCTAACCTAAGTATGACATTTTTCCGACATTTTGACCGAAAATGCTAGTCTGAAACAAGAAAGTTGAAGATTGACAATCCAACCGGACACAGATGTCTCTGAAGAATATTCAACAGGAAAGGCCAATCAACATGTCAACACCAACCATAGGTAAATCAACACATGCGTATGCATACATGTCACCAGCGAGCAAAGCAAGAAAGAAATTCTTGTTAGCAACTAACCAACAAAAAGCACTATATTTTTATAGCACCTCCAAAATATGAGCCTTATTCATTGCAGTACATCATCATAATGATGATGGCCATGTCTCAGCATCCAATACAATTCAGTCTCATTATCATCATGGTTCTATATCCTAATCAGCTCTAAGCTTCACAGACTGCAGCTACAGCAGTATGTACACAAAAGCCTGCTTACAGACGCTTTCTAGCATGAGCAAACGCCGTCCTCGTCCTCATCTGCAAGCGCGAGCGTCTCAGGACCGAAAACAATTATGCCGGATAGCGTCGCTCGGTTGTGCATCGGAACAAATGCGCGCCATGGATCGTCGATGTTTGGTTCCTATCTTCTTCCTGGTCCTGCAAACCTTCTCGCCGTTCCGAATACGAGGGCTTTGGTCAGTAGCCCCTTGTCGAAGGTGCAAGCCAGGGCGACCACGCTGCCTATCACGAAGACTTTGGGTAGGTTGCCCGTCCAGTGCTTTGGCTTCTCGGCTTGGGCGTTGTTGCTGGTCGAACCGGCCTCGGTGTTGTTTTCTGAAGCGGTGAGCTCGTCGGCGACAAACTTTGTGTTGGCGTGTGCCATCGCAGCGCATTTCGAGATGGGCTCCCCGGCGGCCCTCGCGGTCTGGTATGCCCGCAGGCCAGGCTCTATCCGTTTGACGCAGCCCCACATACCCTGCTGCACGCCGAGCTTCGCGATGCTCCATGGGATACCCATGTCTTCGTGATGAAACAGGAGCACCTCGCATGCCGTCATCGCACCATCACCATTTCTTGATTCAACTGATAAAAATGGAACAGGTGTAAATTCATTGGCCTAGCAAAATCAGCTAGTGATGAGGAACCTGCGATGGAAGGAACTGGAATAATACCTGGACGGATGCACCAGCTAGAGTAGTACAGGTCCACGCGGCGAGGTTTGCTGCTCCTTGGAACAGAGGGACGAGGTACACTCTGAAAAAAATGCAGGAAGACATTTAATGATCTGTTTGGCTAAATAAAGCAATACTTGCTCTGAAAAAAATGCAGTAAGACATTTAGTGATCTGTTTTGCCTAAATGTATGGCATCTAAACTAGAGATAGCCTATATGTATGTATGTGAGAAACTACAGATATAGAAAGAAGAGTATGCTTGGCACAGATAGATATAGAATGCAGTGCATCTTATAATCAAACACAGAGAAAGCGGCAATAAATCTTTTTTCCAAATTTGCAAATGAGAAGATGGAACAAACAGCAACAGTGCCCAACTCAAATCCATTACGCAAAGGAACTCTAAACATGGCTGTAAAAGCAATCGCATGAACGTGTATCCCAATAACAGCTTTCTAACAGATATAAAGCTATACCACTTCATCACACACCTTGGTAACGCAGTAGTAGGTCTTTCCAGATGCCCATATCCTGCGACCGATAACATACTCCCTGTCGCTGCAGAAGAATGGAAACTGCAAAGGCAAGGCAAGCAGTGTAAGCAAAAGATACATGGTTTGCCATGAATTCCGCAAGGGCTGCCAGGGAGGGATATCACGCAGATAAGCTCACCTTCCTGACCCAGCGGACAACCATCGTTCCGGTCTTTGTGCACTCCTCCAGCGTCTCGTGCTCAAGAAGCATATCGTCCCAGGTGTTGCTGATCCGGAAGTCATCATCCCAGAAGAAATCCCTGACAACATCCGGCGACGCGTCTTCGAAGATAGTGCTACTGCGGTACTGCGGCGGGCCGTTCTGGAATGAAACAGAGGGTGCAAACATTTAACTCATGAGCTCTAGGATAGTTGTATCTTCTATGTCTAAACACTGAATTACTGAATCGAAATTCGTTACAACTAATCTCACAAATCTACAACAACTGACTGTCATCAATCCAAAAACAGTAGTGCAATAATTGACACAATTTTGACAAGTTGATACACCTATATATGTTGTTAAATTCTAAGGCTATGTATGAATCAACTTTGAAAGAGTTGACAGACAAAATTCTTGGGTTCTACAGTTGCTGCTCAACTAAAAAGCTCTGGGAAGGCTTCATATCATACCTGGGGTTCTCTTTTCCAGGCCTGGTATCGGAATGTCGGGAGCGTGCGGTCCATCATGTGCGTCCAGGCGGGGCCGCCGTCCTTCTCCTCGACGACCCTGCGGAGGTGCATCAGGTCCGGGGTGCTGACCGCCAATTCTTCCTCCTCCACCGGCGCCAGCGAGGCCGCCTTAGCTCTATATACCCACACAAATTAGATAGAATTCAGTAAAGGGACTGAATCAATCAGAAGCCCCAAATCCAATTGGGGGCAGGAGGATATGTTTCTTGAAACACAGAGTAATTCCTCACCTAGGTACGACGGCCAAGTGGTCGGCAACAGTGGTCTGCGGGGCAGGGGCCTGCTGCGCCGCCGCTGCCGCCGGCACCGGCTGCTGTTGGTGCCCGGCGACGTCGACGACTGCGGCGGCCCAGCGCGGGCGCCAGGCCCAGCCGATGAGCAGGCCCACGAGGGCGGCGAGCCAGAGCGGCGCGGCGAGGGTGGCCAGCTCCCGCGCCACCCCGGCCAGCGTGGGCTCCCGGAAGATCTCCGCCAGCATGTCCGCCAGCACCGACATCTTGTTGTCCCACCTCCGCAAGATAGAGCCTTGAAGAGCAGGGAGGGAGAAGGAGACGTCTGGGTGTGTGGATCGGACGGACGGACGGACGGGCGCACCAGAAGAAGAAGAAGAAGAAACCTTTGTGGGTGGTGCGTGGAGAGGGCAGGGCCGCCCCCTGGTTGGAGCGGCGAGGGCCTAGTAGAAACCGCGCGCTGCGCACACCACACACAGCAGCGGGAGGGAGGTGGCCGGCGGAAGAATCCAAATCGGGGCGGGGTGGGGAGGGGAGAAGAGAGGGTTGTGGGCGCAGGCGCAGGCGCAGGCGAGGAATGTGTGGCGCGCTCTGGGGATAAGGCCAGGAGGCCGTTGGGAGGAGAGGAGATAGATTTAGCAGGCAGCAGAGTCCAGCCGATGCAAGGCAGCAGCAGGAATTGGACGGACGGACGGACGGTCGGAGGAAGGGGACAAGCGCCGCAGCGAGCAGCAAAGGGGAATTTTGATTGGTGGATGGGGATCACGGGGGGACGGGAGCCATTGATATACTGCTGGGGGCGATGGGATGGAGGACGGATTGGGGAATTGGGGTGGGGATTTCTGATCTCTCTCTCACGCGGTGGCGGAGGCGGAACGGAGGTGGTTGGATTCTTCCTCCGTCCAGTCCACTACAGGGCCGGGTCGTCGTCCGCGATGGGCCGGGCTTCTTTTCCTTTTTCTTTTTCTTTATGCTTGTGCGTGTGACGGCGTACACAGTCTCGCTCGCTCGGGTCTGGTCGGGTCGGGGGGTGGACGGTGGTGGGAGGAAGGAGCTGAGCGAGCGGCCACGCGCGGACCGGACCACCTCGGACCCGGGAGCACGAGGAAAACGAGTAGAGTAGCAGCACCGGGTCGGGTCAATCAACCATTCTCTTCTGCATTAACCAACGTGCAGTGCAGGTCTCTCCTCCTTTTTTTTCTCTTCCCTCCCTACTACTACTTGGCACTATCATCAATCAATCGGCAGTAACCTACGACCCGCGACCTACCACCACCGAGAGAGAGAGCTCACTCCGTCCGACCACAATGCGTTGCGTGCCCGTAACAATAATCTGCTATGTGAATCGTACTCCCTCTGTAAAGAAATATAAGAGCGTGTACATCACTACCATGGCGCGTACCCAAACTTGCTGCGACTGCTTGGAGTGGTGGATCTGACCATGTCTTCGTGTTATACGGGTGGTCCCTTCATATGCGACTTTTGTTGACTATATGATGGTGTGTCGGGAGTTTGGAAGCGGCGTCGAGCTTGGCTCACGACGCACCGTCGACGAGCACATGAGGAAGGCGTCGTTGATGTCGTAGGGATAGGCGCACAATTTTTAATTTTTAAACTCACTCTATTCCATATTGCAGTGCGCCCGCGCTTTTCGAGATCTAACTTTGATCTAAAATTTAACCAACGAGACCAATTGCGGTGAGAGCAAAAATTATACCATTGAATTCGTGTTTCCATTGAATTCGTATCAAAATACGAATTCAGTGGTATAATTTTTGCTCCTGTCGCAAGCCTTATATTAGGAGGAAAAAAATGTTTTACGAACTGATATTGAAGTTCTTTTTTAAGACAAACGAACTGAGATTTAAAGTGCGCAGATGCTGGTGAGGCAGGCAGAAGAAAAGTGGGACGTACGGATCCTGCCGTCGAGGCGGACGTGGAGCGATGTGCTCCGTCCGGTCCAGGGGGTGATACGTACGGTGCGAGCGCAATGTTTGACCCTACGTACAGGAGCTGGCCGGCCGGCCACGCGGTCCACGCGGCGCCGAATCCAGCCGCACGTTCGACTCGACGGAGGTGAACAAAATTATTTTTAATTTGCCTTTCCGCACGTACTTTCCGATATACTCTCTCTGTTTACTTTTATAAGGCCCTAAAGACTGAAAATGCCTTTTGGAGCTTGGCCTCCACGGTGGCCGGTTTTTGGAAAAACACAAAATTCATGGAAATTCATATTTTTACAATTTAAAAAATATCTAAAAAAATACAGATATGCATGGAGGCATAAGACACATGTGTGTAAATTTTTAGGACGAAATACGCTGAAATGAAGGCTGTGCAAAACAGACAAATATGTGGCTTTTTAACATATAATACTATTCGTCCGCAAAGTCCAGAAAATTCGTCTTTTTTGTATAGGTCGCATTTCAAAGTATTTCTTCTTGAATTTTTACACACACATACATTTCATCCTTGTACAGTTGCATATATTTTTTTCAGAATTTTTCAAAGTTGAAAAGTTTGAATTTTTTATATTTTAAAAATAAAGGGCTCCATGGAGCTCGGTCATCAAAACGTCTTACTCCCTTAAGACAATTCAAACAGCGTGCAAAGCAGCCTATTTTCAGTTGTCTCAAACGACTTACAAAAGTGAATTGAGGGACTAGTTTCGATGTGACCAAGTTATTATAATCAACAAATTTATTATCCGCGAACCAACCTATTGTTGGATGGCTATAAGACCAGGTCGTCTGGACGAGATGAGATAGATTTAGCAGCAGAGTCCAGCCGATGCAAGGCAGCAGGAATTGGACCAACGGAGGAGGAAGGGGACAAGCGCCGCAGGGAGCAGCCAAGGGAAGGAGAAATTGGATTGGTGGATGAGGATCTCCTCACGGGGGGAGGGGGCCCCATTGATATAATACTAGTACGATGGAGGGAGGATGGATTGTGGAATTGGAGGATTTCTGATCTCTCCCTTTCTCACGCGGTGGCGGAGGCGGATCGAAGGTGGTTGGATTCGGGAGCTCCTATGTGCGTCGAAGCAAAGAGATGGCAAAAGAATTGTTGATCCGAGATGGTTTGCTGAATCAGTGCACCAACACATGACAGAATGGGCTAGTATTCATACAAGGCAACCGGAGCGCCCTTCTCCGACACTGGCCGCGAGATGGAGCCCACCGGAGCAAGGCTGGATCAAAGCAAACTCTGATGGATCAATGGCTAAACTGCAGGACCGTGGCGGCGGAGGGGTGGTCCTTAGGGACCACGGTGGTGCTTTTAGGGGAGGAGCCGGCTATGTTTTCCCTCATGTTTCAGACCCTGAAGTTGCTGAGATCGTGGCCTGTCAAAAGGCTGTGCAGTTTGCAGTACAAAGGGGAGCCTCTAAAGTGCATCTGGAAGTGGATTGTCGATATGTTGCACTAATGCTTAACGAACAAACTAAGAACCTGAGTGCAGCAGGCCCGGTCATTGAGGAGATCAAGCTACTGTGAAGGACACTCGAAGGATTTGAGGTTTCGCGATTCGTAGATCTGGGAATCGAGGAGCCCATTTGTTAGCTAGAGAAGGAGTTAGTTCCGAACTTTGTAATTTTTGGTTGTCTGAACCCCCGAGTGCATCTTACATGTAATCTCTGATGAAATCCCACCTGTGGGGTGATTAATAAAGGCTCATGATGATGATTCTCAAAAAAAGAAGCGTCGACGTTTCGCACAGGCGTGGCAAACCTGGGCCGACCCATTCGGCATGTGCAATATATGAAAAAAAAAGCGCAAACATAGCTAGCTCTTCCGCTAAATTTGTAGCGCAATAGTAAAAGAAATAAGAGCAACAGCGATAAAACTTGACGTTTCTAAAAAATCCAAAAATTGCAAATGATAACATTTTTCAAAATGACAAACAATTTTGTAAAAAACACAATCTTTTTTTGAAAAGAAGGAACAAACATTGAAAACAAGAAACATTTCTCAAAATTGCGAACAATTATTTCAAAACTCAAACATTCTATGAATTTGCGAACAAAAATTTAAAACCTGAACATATTTTGAATTCCCTAAACAAATTTGTAAAGCTAGACACTATTTCAAACCACAAACATATTTCAAATTTGTGAACAAAAATAAAAATGCGAATTAATTTTTTGAATTTCAAAACAAATTTCAGCGCAACAGTAAAAGAAACAACAACGACAGCGATAAAACATGAAGTTTCTAAAAAAATCCCAAAATTGCAAACGAGAAAAGTTTTCAAAATGACGAACAATTTTGTAACAAACACAAACTTTTTTTTTCGAAAAAAGGGAACAAACATTGAAAACAAGAAACATTTCTCAAAGTTGGAACAATCATTTCAAAACTCAAACATTTTATGAATTTGCGAACAATATTTTAAAACCTGAACATATTTTGAACTTCTGAGCAAATTTACAAAGCTAGAACATTATTTCAAACCCCAAACATATTTTAAATTTGTCAACAAAAATAAAAATTTGAACAATTTTTTAGAATTTGAGAACAAATTTTCAAAACGTGAACAATTTTCAAATTCGTGAACAAAGTTGTAAAATTGTTCAGCAATTTTTATCTTTTATGAATGTTCGAACATTCTTCTGAAAATAAGTGAACAAATTTTGAAATACTTATTTTTTTTTGGAATTTCGAAACAAAATTTGAATAGAGGAAGAAAATCTGGAAACTGATTTTTTTAAAGAAATACGAACATTTATTATTTTCTGAAAAGTTGGCAAAAAACTTGATTTTTTCTTAACAAAAATAAATAGAAAAGAAAAAAATAAACTGAAAAAATAGAAAAGGACAGAAAAGAGAAAAAACAGGAAAAAGAAAAACGAAAAATTTAAAGGAAAAATAATAAACGGTTCTGGAACCTTCCAGAAGGATCCCCGAACCAGTAAAAACCAGCTGGGAATCCTCTGGAAGGTTCCCAAAACCGGAACCAGAAAGTTGTATGTAAGCTACACATGGCCGGCCCAAATCTCTCGACTGCTTGCGCAGTCAAATAGGGTTTTCCGTTGGATTCTTCCTCGTGGCGGGTGGGCTCGGCTGGGTCGTGGTCCGCGCTGGGCCGGGCTTCTTTTTCTTCTTTTACCTTTTGCGTGTGCCTGTGACGGCGTCCACAGTCTTGCTCGGGTCGGGGCGGGTCGGAGGTGGACAGTGGTGGGAGGAAGAAGCTGAGCGAGCGGCGCGGTGGACCGGACCGGTTCACACCTCGGACACGCGCGGACCGGACCACCTCGGACCCGGGAGCA